TGGCTCCCCTGGGAGGCGTGGGTCTGGGGCTGAGGGCCAGGGCCCGCATGCCCGGGTTCCGGGACTAGGGCCTCCGCAGCCAGCAGGGGTGGAGACCCGGGGCACCCAGGGAAGGTCCCCCACCCGCCCCAACGCCCGCTCCCGGCCATGGAGCCCTTGAAGAACCTCTTCCTCAAGAGCCCGCTGGGTTCATGGAACGGCGGTGGCAGTGGGGGCGGCGGTGGCAGCGGCGGAAGCTGGCCAGAGGGGTCCCCGAAAGCAGCGGCTTATGCCAACCCTGTGTGGACAGCCTTGTTTGACTACGAGCCCAATGGGCAGGACGAGCTGGCCCTGCGGAAGGGGGACCGTGTGGAGGTGCTGTCCCGGGATGCAGCTATCTCCGGCGACGAGGGCTGGTGGGCGGGCCAGGTAGGCGGCCAGGTAGGCATCTTTCCGTCCAACTATGTGTCTCGGGGCGGCCCGCCCCCCTGCGAGGTGGCCAACTTCCAGGAGCTGCGGCTAGAGGAGGTGATCGGCATTGGTGGCTTCGGCAAGGTCTACCGTGGGAGCTGGCGAGGTGAGCTGGTGGCTGTGAAGGCAGCTCGACAGGACCCCGACGAGGACATCAGTGTGACGGCTGAGAGTGTGCGCCAGGAGGCCCGGCTTTTCGCCATGCTGGCACACCCCAACATCATTGCCCTCAAGGCGGTGTGCCTGGAGGAGCCCAACCTGTGCCTGGTGATGGAGTACGCAGCTGGCGGTCCCCTCAGCCGTGCCCTGGCTGGGCGGCGTGTACCCCCCCACGTGCTGGTCAACTGGGCTGTGCAGATCGCCCGTGGGATGCACTACCTGCATTGTGAGGCCCTGGTGCCCGTCATCCACCGAGACCTCAAGTCCAACAACAGTGAGTTTTGGGGAGCAGGGTTGGAGGGTGGCGTGGCCCAAGCACACACATACTGCCAACTCTCAGCTGAACCTGCCTGGGGCTACCTGGCCTCTGAGAGGTACTGGCTCCAAGCCCTCTCCCAGTATGGCCTCTGTGGCACTAGAGGCAGGATCTCTTGCCCAAGGGGAGTCCCAGTTGACTGGGATGCCCACTGCCCCCAGAGCAGGAGTACCAGGCACCGGCGTCTTTCATGCCCCAGCCGCAGAAGTTCTTGGCCCCAGCTTACAGAAGCTGAAAAATTGGGATCGCTCAGGTGGACCCTCAGGATCCTGCCTAAGGATGGCCACCTCAAGGCAGCAGAACACTGGATGCTGGCACTCCCCTTCCTGTCCCCTAAAATTCACACCTGTGCTGTTGGCTCTCTCCTCTCCCCTCCTCTTGTGATGGGCAGGTACTCCCGAACAGAGATCTCCGAGGGGAAAGCCTGGTGGTCGTGGGCTGGAATTCTGGCCCTCCCCCTCCCCCTCCCCCTGGCTGCATGACCTCTAGGTGGTTATTTCAACTCAGAGCCTCAATGTCAGACTCTTAAAAAGGGAGTAACGGGGCGGGGAAAATGGCTTAACAGTCTTGGCAAGCCCTGGTGTCTGATGCCAGCACACAGTAGGTCCTCAGTCGTGAGTGGATATTTGGGGATTGGCTCACCAACGGGGCCTCGCCTGGAATCAGCCCTTGGGGTGGGTGTGGTGGGACGAGGCCTCCATCCTCAGCCATTTGGGATTGCACACTGCTCAGCAGGGACCCAAAACAAGGAGGGACAAGTTCAGAGCGCTTCCTCCAGCCGACAAGCTTCACACAGGCCAAAAGCAGTCAGCGTTCAGGGAGGCACCCAATTGGATGTCCGGCAGGGCCTGACAAGAGCAAAGGCCAGGAGGCAGTACCCAGCGCAGTAGTGGGGGGACACAGGCTGGGCCTGGGGAGGCCCGGGTGTAGGCTACAGAGCAAAAGGAAGCGCAGGAGGGGCCAGTGGGATTGCTGGAGAGGCATGGGCGGCTCTTGCAGGGGGGAGATGTATATTTTGAGCGTCCTGGGCTGGGCTGGCCATGGACAAGGGACCTGGAGGGAGAACACCAGGACCCGGTGATATCCAAGTCCTGGCCAGGGCCAAAGGGGGCCAGGGGATGTCTGCCAGCCACCCACCCGCTCCTGTCATCTGTAGCAGGGGGCAGTTTCCACCTCTCAGCCTCACTTCTGGGTTCTAGCCATCTAGGACCCCCCACTCCCTGCCCAGCCTGAGGGGGATTCCCCGAAGGCCCCAGGGGGAGGGGACTCCATCTTCTGTTTTTCCTCCAGTTTTCTTTCCAGAAAAAATGGAACAATAGCCCAGGCCCCTGCTCCCCACCCTCCCCACCGCTTCCTGCGTTTCCTGCTGCCCCTGAGCCAGCTTCCTGCCCCTGCTCCAGCCTCTGCTCCCTCCCCAGTCCAGCTGCCTACAGGGGAGGAAAGAGCTGGGGGTGGGGGGCTTGTGAGAGAGGAAGGAGCCAGGGATTGCACCCCCACTCCCCTCCAGTCCCCCTGCTTCTCTCCCAGAGTCTGGGTGGTGGTTAAGGGCAGGCGGGGTGCCCTCAGCCTCCCTAGCCTGGCCTCCCACCTTGCAGACCCCAGTCCTAGGCCTGAGGTACTGTCTGCGGGATTGGGGCGGGGGAGTCCCTGGACTGGGGGGGCGCAGGCAGGAAACAATGGCGTGATTTTCCTGGACAATGGGGGCCTTGTGAGGAAGCCTGGCGGGGAGTGGAGGGGGAATTCTCCAGGCCCACGAGTCACAGGACTGACCAGCCAGCCCGGCCTGGGGCTGACCTCCCCCAGTTCTCCCCAAAGGACCCCCCCAGTTGGAGACCTGCGCCAGGCCCCCAGAAAGGAGAAGTAGAGACCATGGGAGGGAAAGCGGAAGAGGTGTGAGCGGCCTAGGCCACTCCCGAGCCCCACAGAGGCCAGCGTGGGAGGGGGCTGGGGCCGGGGCGCCCTCAGGGGACCCTGAGAGGGGGCTCTCCAGCTCTCTCTCTTCCGGATGGCCCCTGACCACCCCACTCCCAAGGTCTACATCAGACACCAGAAGAGCAACTTGGGTTGGGACAAATTCAAAGCACTTGGAGACAAACAGGAGATGCAGGGAGAGGACCAGACGCTGAAGCTGTCAGGTCCAGCTGGGGGCGGGAGGTGGCAGAAAGGCCGCCCGTACAAAGAAGTCCCGAGACTGGGTGAGTTATCTGGGTCTCAGATTAGCTGGCTGAAAAGGAGCGGCTGGCCTCCCGGCCTGAGACACTGGTACCGCAAGTGCTTCACTCGTCTGTGAGGTCTCCCATGTGGCTAGAGAGACACAGCCAGGAAGCGGCCAGGGTTGGTCTGCGAGAGGATGGGTGGGTCCTGGCACCAGAGGAGACAGGAGTCCCTGCCCAACCCCGGCACACAGACCCCTTTGGCTGGTCCCACTCCAGCCACCCGCCCCCGGCCTGTTGCAGTTCTTGGGAATGAGCTCCTGTAGGGTTTCCTAAAAGGTCCAGTTCTGAGCCTCCAGCAGCCAAGCCAGAGTAAGTTGTGATGGAGGATGGAGAAGAGAGAGTCTACAGAGATGTTAGCGAGTGGCAGAGTCTTTAGCACAGGGGTCCTCAAACTTTTTAAACAGGGGGCCAGTTCACTGTCCCTCAGACCATTGGAAGGCCGGACTATAGTTTAAAAAAAAAACTATGAACAAATTCCTATGCACACTGCACATATCTTATTTTGAAGTAAAAAAACAAAACGGGAACAAATACAATATTTGTATTTGCATGTGGCCCGCGGGCCGTAGTTTGAGGACCCCTGCTTTAGCACAACTGGCATCCGGCATGCTCATGCCGGGTGTCAGACCCTGTGCTGAGGCTTTAAAAACTGGGATCTCATGCCAACCCTCTGAGGTGGCTTTTGTTATCACCTCGGCTTTATTAACTGTTCAGGACTCAGCCCCAGTCGGGCTCAGAGGAGAGGGGAGATTGTAGGACCATCCTCTGAATGAGGAGAAATGGCAAGAAGATTTGCCGGGCCTGGTGGGATGATGCTGGTGGTTGTTGAGGGCCGGTGGACATCAGGTAGGGCAGCTGATGGGCAGCTGAATTGACTTCTGGCCTAGAGGTGCAAATATGGGAGATGCCAAGGGGTGGCTGGCACCTGGGAGAGCCAGAACAGTCTGGGAGCAGTGGGCAGAGGTGTAGGAGAGGCCAGGCTCTGAGGAACACCTGCATTGAAAGGGCTGAGGGCAGGGGAGGCCCTGAAGGAAACACAAGCAGTCAGAGGCCCCAGGAGTCAAGGACCTCGGGGAAGGGTTGGGGAGCAGTGCCAGATGCCCCCACAAGGCCCAGAGAGCTTGGCCAGAAGCAGGATCAGTTGTGGCTTTAGGCCTGGAAAAGTGAGTACCCTGGTTCTGCCACCTCTTCTGAGAAGTCTTCTCTGACTCACTGGGCTGTGTTAGGTGCTGGGGCCCGCCCCTGACCGAGTGACACGCTGGTACTCCACCCCCAGGACCCTGTGCTGCCCCCATTATGATGCTGTCACCTGGGCAGGAGAGCTGAGGTGTGCTCTGGAATGACACGTATTCAGAAATGTAGTTTCTGAATGTCACTTCTCTGCAGTGCAGTTTTCTACAACCAGAGAGGGAGAGGGGCCCTTTCAGACCCTGGATGATTCTGTTACTTTGTCCTCTCAAACTCCTCTCATTGGAGCCATGTTTTTCCTGATGAGAGGTTTGCAAGTTGCTGCTTCTCTCTGTGCAGATATGGTGGCCCCATTTGGGTCAAAGCCATGAGCCCCTGCCAAGTCTAACCATCCACTCCTACATTTATCCCAAGCTCCTCCTTTCTGGGCAAGAACCATCATCTTCTCAGACCCCTCCCTTTCCCTCCACATCCAGCTGCGTTAGTAGTTATCTTTTGGAGTCTGGCTCCCGTGGGAGTGGCTGCACTGGCCACCCTGCGATATGGGCACCAGGGGTCTGTGGTGCCTGTTGGGCTTCCTTTCTCCCCAAAGGGCTGCTTCCTGCTCCCCACCCCAAGGGAGGTTCTGATCCACACTCCTGCTTTAGCAAAATGGCCAGACACAGGTTTCTCTTGAAATTAAGGCCATCAAGGCTAAGAGGCTGCTACATTGCTAGTTTCTATTCAATGCAGCATTAGGAGAGAGTTATAGATCTGGCTTTGGAACCTCACAGACTAGGTTGGAATCTCTGTTTAATTTGTTTATGACCTTAGCCAAGTCATGTCCTTGCTCAGTTTCTTCATCTGTAAAATGGGGATATTGATGACTACCTCACAACATTTTTGTGTGTGACCGCTAGAACTGAGTGTAAAATGCCTGGCTTATAGTAGACCCTCTGGAAACATTTCCCAGTATTGTTATTTTTTGTCTGATTCCATCCCAGCCCCAGCAGCAAGCTCTCCTTCCTGGGCAAGATCACCTCCATGCCCCCAGCACCCAGCTACATGTCTGTCAGAGGACAGTTAGCTCTCCGCCCCTCCCTTGTCCCTCCCACCTGAGCCTGCAGCAACCACAGTCCTGCCTCTCTCTTCCCCAGTTCTGCTGCTGCAGCCCATTGAGGGTGACGACATGGAGCACAAGACCCTGAAGATCACTGACTTCGGCCTGGCCCGCGAGTGGCACAAAACCACACAAATGAGTGCCGCCGGCACCTATGCCTGGATGGCGCCCGAGGTCATCAAGGCTTCCACCTTCTCCAAGGGCAGCGATGTCTGGAGGTGCGGCCTGGAGGGAGGCTGGACGGGGCCAGCTGTGGGGCTGCACGGGGTAGATGTGGCTGCCAAAATCTAGGGCTGGGCAGACAGGTGGAGCTCAGGGGGAGGGGCCCAAGCCATTTAGTTCCTGGTTGCTTTGGGGTGAAATGGCGATGAGGAGAGGAGAGGACACACCCTTCTCTCTCCCACAGCTTTGGGGTGCTGTTGTGGGAATTGCTGACTGGAGAGGTGCCCTACCGTGGCATCGACTGCCTTGCTGTAGCCTACGGAGTGGCTGTTAACAAGCTCACACTGCCCATCCCATCCACCTGCCCCGAGCCCTTCGCGCAGCTCATGGCCGGTAAGGGGATGGTGCGGGAGGGTGAGGGACAGAGCTCCTCCACCCACAGACCTCTTCTTACTCTGTCCCCTCTCCATCCTGTGTCCCCAGATTGTTGGGCGCAGGACCCCCACCGCAGGCCCGACTTCGCCTCCATCCTGCAGCAGCTGGAGGCGCTGGAGGCCCAGGTCCTGCGGGAAATGCCGCGGGACTCCTTCCATTCCATGCAGGAAGGCTGGAAGCGTGAGATCCAAGGCCTTTTCGATGAGCTGCGGGCCAAGGAAAAGGTGGGAGGAGTCAGGGTCCCGGGGTTGGAAGGAGACACTCGGGTCTCCTTCGGGCAGAGAGTTGGGGCGGGCGCCAAGGCCCTTCGGGACTGACCCCACCGTCTCCACTGTCCCGGGCACAGGAACTACTGAGCCGCGAGGAGGAGCTGACCCGCGCGGCGCGTGAGCAGCGCTCCCAGGCCGAGCAGCTGCGGCGGCGCGAACACCTGCT